CTCCTGAAGCTGTTGCTCTGGCAGCAGCCTCTGAGGCCCTGCACTGGTGCTGCTGCCTGGCTCTGGCTGACATCCATCTGTTTAACACACACCTCTCCTCCAGACCTGTTTTGGGCCAGAAAAATGTGTCACCCTGACCTTTTGTTAACTCTGCCACTCCAAAATTTTACTTGAAGGGTTATTGAAGTTGCTTAGAGGGGAATGTTGGGAGGGTTCAACTGTTGCTGGCTCTAATCTGCCACCTTGATAGTTATTATTCTCCTAAGCACTTTATAGTTATTATTTCATTTGATCCTCACAATAACCTGGGAGGTAGGTGCTATTATCCCTATTTTACAACTGAGTAAACTGAGGCAGGCAGCAGTTAAGTGACTTGACCATGGTCACAGAGCTAGTAATTGTCAGATTAAGACTCAGGTCTTCCTACCTTTAGGACCTTTTCTCTAGCCACTGCAGCACCTAGCTGCCTTCTCTAAAATGAAATGGGGTTGGACTAGATAGCGTCTGAGGTCTCCCAAGATATTCCTTCTTAATGGTTTGCAGGGCCAAGGGTCAGAAATACTCAGCTAAGATTTAGTGGTTTTTGGATCTGTTTTCTAGTTTTAACCCTGATTTGCCCTATGATTTTGGGCAGTCACTTATTGTATACCTCAATTTTCCTATTTTATCAATGAGGAAAATAAACCTGTCCTATATCCAACTATGATGATGATAATAGCTAACATATTTTAGTGTTTACTATGTCCCAGGCATTGTGCTGAGTGTTTTGCAATTATTTGATCCTTACAACAACCCTGAGAGGTCAGTGCTATTATAATCCTCATTTGCCAGATAAGGAAATTGGGGGAAACAGGTTAAGGGAAGGGTCACACAGTTAGTAATTGCCAGAGACCAACTTTGAACTCAGGTCTTCTTGACAACAAGCCTGGCATTCTATCTACTGTGCCACTTAGCTTCCTGTATGAAATGCAAGGGGTAAAAATAGATAGATACTGAGCACCTACTATTTGCAAACTCTATTACATGGGTTAACCTGGGGTCTGTGAACTTTTTTTTTTAAATATTTTGAAAACTAGTTTGATATAATTGGTTTAATTTATAATCATATATTTTTATTTTATGATTTATTTATTTAAACATTATTCAGAGAAGGGATCCATAGGCATCACCAGACTACCAAAGGGGTCCATGACACACCAAAAAGATTAAGAACATCAATTTTTTTTTTTAGTAAATAGTATTTTATTTTTTCCAATTACATGTAAAGATAGTTTTCATTTTTTTTATAAGATTTTGAGTTCCAATTGCTCCCTCCCCTTCCCCTTCCCCTTCCCCGAGACAGCAAGCAATCGTGTTAAACATATATCCACATTAGTCATGTTGTGAAGAAGAAACAGAACAAAAGGGGAAAACCAGAAAAACAAACAAACAAACCAAAAAGTGAAAATCGTGCGCTTCCATCTACATTCAGACTCCATCGTTCTTTCTCTGGATGTGAACAGCATTTTCCATCAGGAGTCTTTTGAAATTGTCCTGGATCATTGTATTGCTGAGAAGAGCCAAGTCTGTCATAGTTGAACATCGAACAATGTTGCTGTTACTATGTACGATGTTATCCTAGTTCTGCTCAATTCATCTCGGCGTCAATTCACATAAGTCTTTCCAGGGTTTTCTGAACTCTGCCTGTTCATCATTTCTTATAGCACAATAGTATTCTATTCCATTCATAAACCACAACTTGTTCAGCCATTCCCCAATTGATGGGCATCCCCTCAGTTTCCAATTCTTTACCATCACAAAAGAACTGCTATAAATATTTTTGTACATGTAGATCCTTTTCCCATTTGTATGATCTCATTGAGATACAAACCTAGTAGTGGTATTGCTGGATCAAAGGGTATACACAATTTGGTTGCACTTTGGGCGCAGAAGAACCTCTACTCTTGAATGTTTTTCCTACCTCTTGAATCTTTTCCCTAATAGTCTCATTTTAGGATGGTGGGATTATGGTAACTAATTTGACTCTAAGCTGACAGCAGAGTTATAAATACAATCTTATTTCAACCAGTTTCAACTGTTTAGCTAGGTAATATTTATAAAATACTTTGCATAGTGCCTAGCACATAGTAGATGCTATATAAATACTAGCTATTATTATGATTAATTATCATTATAATTCTAATATAAGCCATTGCAGCTTAAAACTGAACTAAGACTTTTGGGACTTCCTATATTTTGGCATGTTCTTGTCTGACAGCTGAAAATTTAGAATTGTGCTGAGGAACTTACTTTCCATTTTAGAACAATGGGTTAGATTTATCTTGATTTTTAACTTTTTTACTTAATTTTTTTTCTTTTCCTCTCTACTCTTCCCTTTGCTGAGAGACACTTTGATGGTAGAGAGTGAATCTACCTGTGCACTTCTCATCTATCCTGCCTCTTTCCTTTTCATATGGCTGTAGTTTTCTTATCACTTTTCTTCCTTTTCTCAGAGGTGTTCTTTCTATTCCATTTATCCAGTTTTCTTCCTAATTCACTTCAACAAATATTGTTTGCACACTATATGCAGAGTGCTATGCTACATACTGGGAGAAATACAACCAGATATCTCCTACTCATATCCAGTTCCCTTTTGACATTTTCTCTTTCAACTTTAATTATTTCCCTCCCCCATTCCATTTTCCTCTGTGGCTTTCATTTTTGAAACCTCTTGTCCTGTATCCTATCTCCCCACTGTACTCTTCTGATTTCTCATTTTCCATCTTTTCAAAGCAGTAATCATCCAGAATAGAAAGTCTTTGTTCTTGATTGTCCATTCTTTGCTACAGTGGGGATTCAAAGGTATAGGTACTCAGGCTAGAGCTGTAATTGGGGTAGGATAACTATAATTCAATCAATCCAATTGGCCCAGGGTGAAATTTAGAGCTTCAATAGACCTTTGGTCTATAATTCCTGTGCATCATGTTCCTCTTTTAATACCATACTCCAGCACTCTGCATCCAAAGTACAAGATTCCCCCCTCTGCCAGGCAGGCCCTGAGTCACCACCCCCATCTCCAGCAGCCTCCTGCTGCATCTGCCACAAATTCTCACCTCATCCTAGGGCTGAGGAGAAAGTCCATGGCTGCTCCTAGTACTGCCTTATTCCTCCACTCTGCTACTCTGCCTCCTCCCATATAAAGGCTTTACTACCTGAGGAATAGGCCCCTTTACTGCATGTCCTAACCGCAAGTGGTTTACCATTAAAGTCACCAGAACGGTACAATGAAGGTGATGCCTGGTAGATTGAAAGTGAGTTCTCAGGGCATTGCTGGTAAGGGTTTTGCCATGCCCAGTCCCTATCCCCAGCCTGGCTTGCCTGAGATTCCAAAAACCCTAGTTAGAGCAATGTGACAGATGCCCTCTTTAATATATGGCCCTCACATTTCTGAAAATGTGTTTTACATGAGTCGTAGCAGAAAACTTGTACATTGTTACTGTAACATTCTTAGAACTTGCTCACCTGTATAGTATCTTCTTATTCTGAAGAAAACAGTTTGTGAAGCTAGAATCAACAGGAACACCCCAGTTCTAGATTCAGTGGGAGGTAGCCCAGAGGTGGGGATAGAAGGGCAAGAAAGCTCATGACAGGGTTCATGGGAGTGTAAGTGGGACTGTAAGTATTTGATTAGAAAAGCATTAGGACACCGGACATATGCTTTTCAGCTTTCTTTTATGCACAAATGTTTGCATTTGTGTTAAGTTGTCTAATGAGAAATTTCCTAACAATGAGGACTATATTAAAGTGAAATAGCCTGTATGTCAAGGTTTCCCTCTCAATAAACGTAAGAAAAAGAATTCCTGTTCAGGTATAGGTTAGGCTAGTTGGCCTTTGAGATTCCTTCCAATGCTAAAATTCTATGATTCTGACAGTAATGAGGAACATGAAAATGAAAAGATCATTTCCAGTTGGGGCAGTGCAGGGATGAGTGGTGGAGGGATAAGAAGGACTTGGATTTAAGAGGACTTGGCTACAGAGCAAGGCCCGTATGGAAGGACAGAATAAAGAATGGGAGTGGGAATCTATTTCAAGAAAGGAGGGCAGTGTGAATAAAGGCATGAAACCTAGACAGGACACAATCATAATGGAGTTTGTCTGGAGCATAAAGTATATAAAAGGGAAAACCCATGGAGGAAGCTGAAAAGGTAGGTTGAACCCAGACTGTAGAAAGCCTTGAATGCCAGAATAAGTTTACACTTTATTCCTGAGGCAAAGGGAAGCCGCATTGGTTAACCTCATTTTATCTTTGTAGCAACCTTGTGGCAGATATTGATATTATTGTTTCACACATGAGGAAGTGACAACTGTAGGCCTGACGCGACTTGGCAAAACAGGATTTCCCACCCGGGTCTCCTACCTCCAAGGCTAGGGTAGAATGGAGAGGGGGAGGGAAGGAGGAGGTGAAACTTCACCATTATTCTCTAAGGGAAAGACTTTTGTAACTAAATATTAATTAACTAATTAAGGTGCCCTTAATCTTGCAACAGAATTGGATTTATGAGTTGCCTCGTAGTGTCTTGGGTTCTATTTGCTGGGCTGGAAGAGCCATACCCCTCGTCACCACAGTACTCCGAAACTGTCCCCTCTCTAAGTTATTAACACTCTCCGCAACGTCCCTCCCTCTTCTGCGCAATTTCTCTGACCTCGCCCCACCCCCAACGGGACCAACCAATTTTTACAAACGTCACCGAAGCTTAAACAGTATTTAGGTGACTTTTACTGACAAAAGAGTTTATATTTTCGAAAGCCATTACACGTAAGTGCTGTTTCAGTGTGGTCTGTACTGAGTGTCAAAGTTAGAATCACTTTGAAACTCTTTCCCGCCTTCACACCCTTTTGGTCTAACCCAGGTAACTCGCTGGGATAGGTGGGAAAGGACGATAGCTTCCCACCCCACACCGCCCCCCCAAAGAGGGGCAAATGAGAGGCCCAGGAGAAGTGAGTGGCGTGCGTCAAAACCAATGAATGGGTTTCGCGTCCTAGTTGCAAACGTTAGCGCAGGAAGGGGGGGAAGAAGGGACCGGAGGGGCCGGAGGGGCCAGAGGTGGAAGGAGAAGCGACTCCTTCGGTAAAAGGAGTGGGAGCCGGCAGGGAGTTCGAAGCGCGAAGCTTCCTACTGTACGGGTCAGCCATTGTCCGGCCCAGTTGAGGGTCCCGAGAATCCGGCTTGTGTTGGCGAGGCCCAACAGGTGTGGGAGAGTGGCGCCCGGGACTGGGACGGGGGGAGGGGGAAAGGGAGTTTAGGGGGAGGGGGCTGAACCCCTACAGGAGCACGTGGCTGCCCGGGGCGCCGACCGTACTGCTCAGTCTCCCCGCCAGCCCGCGGACCCCCCGCCCCGTCCGCCCCTGCACCTCTTGAGTCGCGCGACGCCCCCCCCACCTGCTCAGATCCCCGTGGCTCCCTTTCTGCCCGTCCCATTCTCCTTTGCCTACGGGAGCCAAAAAGGGAAAGGGGCTTCGAAGGGGTGAGAGAGCCCCTGCTGAGGGCAACCGGAGGGCTAGGAGACTGAGGGGAAGGAGGTGGGGTGAGGGGGAGAAGGAAAGAAGCCATAGAGAAGACAGCTGGGGGGAAGGGAGGGGCATGACCTGAGGCTCCCAGGTCAGGAGCGGTTGGCTTGCTGACCGAGATCAGAGAGAGGACCGTAGCTTGAGAGTTGGGGGAGGGGAGGGGCCTTCGAGAGCATGTCAACTAACCTTCTCTCACAGGTGAGGAAACTGAGGATTTGGAGAGGGGAAAAAAACTTACCCAGGGTCACAGCAGAAATAGGAGGTCTCCTGCAGAATGAGAAAGGAAAAAAAATTCTGGTATAGAGATTTGTTTTAGGAATATTTGAGCTCCAAGACAACAACCACTTCATCTTGCTTTTTATACAGATTGGGAAATTTAGGTAAAGACTCTAGAGCTTTGATTTTGATGTGCTCAGATTACCACGGAGAGTAAGTAGCCTAAGAGGAATAGGCATTCCAACCCAGGACTCTTCAGACTAAACTCTTAAATGTATACCACCTAAAGCTTCTCAACACAGCTGGGATTTAGAGAGATCTAAAGTGCTTTCTGGCAAGGTTGGGCCCAAGTCAAAATTGGGAAATAATGTATATCTTAGGTAACTTCACTCTTTTTTTTTAAATAAATTTTTATTGCTATCTTTTGTTTTTACATCATCTCCATTTCCACATATAGCTCTCCTCTCTGGGCCCAGTGAGCCATCTCTTATAACAAAGAATAAAAAAAGAAAGGAAAAAAGTGAAACTAAGCAACACACACTGACGCTGAGCAGTGTTCCACACTTACAGTCCTCCCAACATCTGCAAAGAAAAGAGGGAGGTACATTTTCTCTCCAAATTAATATATTTTCAGTTTTATTGCTATGTCCAACACTTAGGCTTGGTCATTATAATTATACGTTTTGGTTTTTTCTTTTCTATTTATATTGTTGTCATTGTGTGAATTGCTTTCCTACTGCTGCTTCAGTCTGAATCAGTTCATTTAAGTTGTCCTGCTTCTATGAATTCTTCCTAGTCATAAGTTATCAAGACACAGTAGAATTCTGTTGCAGTGATATGCCACAGTTTATTCAGCCATTTCCAGACTGAGGGATATTTACTTTGTTATCATTTCTTTGCCACTGCACAAAGTATTGCTATGAACAGTATTGCTATGAACATTTTGGTGTCTGTGGAACATTTATGTCTTTGACATCCTTGGGTGATATGTCTATAAATAAGATTCCCAGGAATGGACATTTTAGTCATGTTCTTAGTATAATTACAAATTGCGTTCCTGATTGGTTGGACCAATTCACAGCTTCACCAACATTGTGTTAATATGCTGTCTTTCTTATAGTGCATCAAATGTTGACTATTTCCATCTTTTCTCATCTTTGCCATTTTGCTGAATATGACATTTGAAACCTAAATTATTTCAGTTTGCATTTTGCTTATTAGTTGACTGGTAGAATCTTTCATATGGTTTGATAGGCAATGTGGTGTACGGATAGAGAGCTGGTCTTGGAAAATTTCAGGAAAATCTCAATTCAGGTACTGCCTCTGACTTATGTTGGCTTTGTGACCCTGGGCAAGTCACTTAACTTTGTGGTGTTTTTGTCCACTCTCTAGGGAGAGTCTTAAGTTGCTGAGAAGGTGGTCCACAAGTACTGGGAGAGGGAGTTTCCTCACCCCAGAGTTCCTACCCCAGTAAAATCACAGTTCTAGACTCTGCTTTTAATATGGTTAATAAGTTTGCATTTTAAGAGGAACTGTTGATATCCTTTAACCACTTACCCATCTACCGTTTCTCCTATTTGTGACAATCTTATTCATCCAGATTACTCATATACTGTACCTCTCTTATCTCCCTTCTACCACCTCCAAGATCAGATGCCTTTTCTCAGTCATTATCATGCTTCACGTTTTTTCTTCTCTTCTCACTCCCCCCCCACTGAAAAACAACAACAGAGACTGCAGACAACCACTGACCTGTTTTGTGCTTTATTCTCACAAGACTTTGTTCTTTGCTTGACAACTACCAATCAGATAAAGTCTAGTTAGGTTCTATTATGTTCTTCTTACATGTACACTTTAATAAGGTCTTTCTGGAAATGATGTCTTAACCCAAATGAGTGTCTTTAGAAGCAGTAATGTTAGATACTATGGCAGGTATGGGAGATATTTTTGAGTAACTTTTTAGTGCTGTTCAAGTTTTTCCACTGTTGTATTACTAAACTCTAGAAAGAACATTCTGCTTGTAGACCTAGGTTCACATCCCAGCTCTAGTCCTGTGGTGGGCAGTACACTTAACCTTTCAGAGCCTGTTTTCTCACTGGTAAAATAGATACTTGGCCTACCTTCCTAGTAGTAGTTCTGACTGGTTGTGAGCCTTTAAAGAGTTGTATAAATTTGAACTACACTTTTGTGTTTTGGGATTGGGAAGTAAGGGGTAGGGGTCAACTGGGAAGTATTGGGGAGTAAAGGGAGACCCGGAGATATTATTGGGGCAGCTAGGTGGTAAAGTGGACAAGATAGTGGGCCTGGAGTCAGAAAGACTCATCTTCCTGAGTTCACATCTGACCTCAGAAACTTATTTGCTCTGTGACCCCTGGGCAAGTCACTTAACCCTGGTTACTTTAATTTCCTCATCTGTAAAATGAGCCAGACAAGGAAAAAGCAAACCATTCCAGTATCTTTGCCAAGAAAATGCAAAAGAAAATTGGTTCACAAAGAGGCAGACATGACTGAACAACAGATATTAACATTTCCTGGAAACATATGTGACCCTAGTTGTTACAGATGTAAGAAAGAATAACCTAGAGTGGGCTTCTGTTAAGGGATTTAAAAATTCTCTGTAGCTCACCAATCGTTTTATCAGCCTTACCATATTTACTAGTATCATGTAGCTGATACATCTTATTTGGAAGGAAAGAGAAGTAGGCATATCAGGAGTCTGAAATCAGCACGATGCCTTGTCTTTTTAAATTCAGATTATTTCCTACTTAGGACCTCCTTATCTCTACTCCAAGAGTTTTTTCTTCTTTTTTAAATATATCATGGCAACCTGAATTTTTTAGGCTTCTTTAGACTTTTCACAGGTTATAGACCCTTATTGTATTTTGCATGACTTTTTCCTGAATAACAGTACTAGATTCAATGTTGAAGCAGCTTCTTAACAGAGGACCTTTTGGACAATGTAGTTAGTTCTTTGAACCTTTGTAGAAGTTCTGTGAAAAGGAAAAAAGGGGGGCCAAGAGAGAATCTTGGAGAAGACCCTCTAATTAGGAGGCATGATATGGATGATGAATAGGTAAAGGAAGTGAAGGAAAGGTCATAATATGTAGGAGAACCAGTGTCATGAAAAGTCAGAAAGAAGAGAATATTCCTGAGGAGAGGGTGCTCAATAATGCAAGTCAAGAAGTCAGTTAAGTCAGGAAAGATGAGGACTGAACAAAGAGCATCAGATTAGACAATTAAGAGATCATTGGTAACTTGGGAGAGAGCAGTTTCAGTTGAGTAATGAGGTTGGAAACTAGACAGCAAGGGTTGAGAAGTGAGAGGATGAGGAAAGAGAGACAGTGAATATAGGCAACTTTTTCAATGAGTTTGGCTAAGAAAAGGAAGAAAGATACAGGATGATAGCTTGAGGGGAAGGTAGAGTCTAGTGAACATTTTTTTTTTAAGGATGGGAGACTTGAACATGTTTGAAGGCAGTAGGAAAGGAATCAGTGAATAGGAGAAGTTGAAGATTTGGAGGTGGGGAGAGGATTGAGGTTGCTGTTTGCTACAGAAGATGGTAATGGACGGGATAAAGGATACATACAGAGGGGACTCCACATTCTGAGGCTCAGAAAACTCCAGTGTTCCTACTCCTGTTGCTTCTAGGATGAAATACACACTTTTCTGTTTAGCTTTTAAAACCCTTCACAACTCAGCGCCAACCTGTCTAGCTTCATTGGACACTATCTCCCTTCCTGCCATCTTCCATCTCTGTGCCTTTGGAGTGCCGCATGCCCGTAATGCATTCCTTCCAACCTTTCTCCTCATTTGAATCCCTCTCTTCTTAAAGACGAATCTTCTGTGCTATCTTCTGCATGAAACCTTTTTCTGATCCCTCCAACTGCTAGTATTCTCCTTCCCAGAACTACCTTTTATTTAACTACTTCATATTTATTTGTATTTATTCTGTATGTACCTATATATGCACTTGTTTTCCCTATTAGAATGTAAGTTCCTTATAAGTAGGGATTATTTCATTCTTTGTACTTGTATCCCAAATGCCTAGCAAAGTACTTCACATAAAGTAAGTTTTTAATATATGCTTGTTGATTGACTGATATTTTGCTCCAAAATATATCTTAGAGCCACTCTTAGAATAAGAATGATGGGCAGCATGGAATTGGGGAGGAGTTTGGGGGGAATTGTGGTTTTTCTTATATTCTTATGGGCTTGTTTTGAAGGGGTAGAATGAATTAGGAACCTTTGTTCCTCTTTAATTTGTTGACAGGTGATTAACCAAAACAGGATCAACACCAATGTCCTCTACAGCCAACCAATGGATCCTATTCGTTCTCCATTCAGAGGAACTCCTCCTTTCCATTCGCTCCCAAGCGTACGGCTGCCAGGATCTCAGCCATATGTTCCCAAACTTATGGACACAGCTGTGGGCAGAGCAGGACAGGCAGTCCAAGGCAATTCATTGGGGAGGTCAAAGGAAACAAGCCTGCAATATGAGCAGTTGCAACAGGTAAGAACATAGGAAGCCCATTAATGATGTTCTTCTTGTCTAACTGTGTTTTTGAATTTCTGACTTTAGAATTTAGTCATGAACAGGAAAATGCTTCACAAATGGCACTCTGAGATTTGTACAAAACCACTTCCCTTTGGTGCCTTTCCAGATTTTGTAAGAAGTAGTTTTGGAGACAAATCAAGACATGACCTCTTGCTGCTTTCTAAGTATTCTTTTTTCTCTGTGGTGTTAGCAATATAGTGATGGCAGCAGTTGTTGTTGTTTTATAGTGTGCCAACACTGTAGAGATCATAGTTGTCAGCTTAGTGGCTTTTGGTTGTTTGTTATTTTGATAAGGCTCTTTGCCCTTAAGCCCTAAGGGAAAGCAGTATAATTTCTTTAGCTACTGCTACTATTCATTTGTTTATATTTTTTAGCCAAAGTTTATTTGACTTATAAATATTTAGTGTCTTTAAGCCTGTATATGTATGATAACAGGAACAATATTTGCTTACATAAATAAAACTCAAAGAACAAAAGGATTTAAAAGATCAAGGGGAAAACCTGACTGAGCCATTAGCTAGCAGTGTGTGAAATGTACTATTGTTTTGCAGGAACATAAATATTTTCCAGTAACATAGGATTATACTCAGATTGCTTAAGGCTTCTGTATTCATGTGGCATGTGATACTGACATTGTTGAAGTATAGTAAGTGTAACATGAGACAAGGAATCTGTGAATGGCTGTAGTAAAAACCTTGTAGCAATTGAGGAACTGTAAGAGAAATGAAATCTTTGTTGTTTTTAAAGAGTCAGCATTACTGAAAAGTTGACACTGAAGTCAGAACTTTATTTAGGCCATTTTCCCTCACTTAATTTCTTCTGTTTCAGTAATTCAGAAAATTCATGAAACTTAAATAGATAAAAAAAGCCATAATTTGTTGTATTCTCTACTTAATATATATGGCTCATTTTACATATTCCAGCCAAGAGTTATATAATTCTTCTCTTACTGAAATTATTTTGCACAGATATTTTATCTGTCCTCTTTGAAGTATGTAAATTTTTTTTTCTAGATGAGACAAACTAAAATTCATGGGTATGGAGTACAGTGGGAAGAACATTGATCTATAAGGATTCAGGAGATCTGTTTTCTAGTATTGGCTCTGCTTTTTGCCATGTGACCTTGGACTAAACACCCTTGCTAGGCCTAATTTTCCTAATTCTAAAATAGGGAGGTGGCTGGATTTAGATGACCTGAGGTACTTGCTAGTTCCAAAAGTTCCAGTAGTTCTGTGAAACAATATGCTGGAGTTATTTGTAGAACTGGAAATAAAGGACAGGTCTTTTCAACAGCATATTTGCTTAAATATTGTTGTTGTCATCTGATTTTGTGACCTCATTTGGGGTTTTCTTGGCAAAGATACTGAGGCAAACAGGGTTAAGTGACTTGCCTAGGGTCGAACAAGTAGTACGTGTCTGAGGCTGGAGTTGAACTCATGAAGATGAGTCTTCCTGACTCCAGGCCCAGCGTTTTATCCACTGTACCACCCTAGCTGCCAATATAGTTGTGCTTAAATATAATTGATCTCTATGATAATTTTTGGATTTTTTTCCCTTTCAGAGTTAGCTACTGTTAAATTGTCTCCTCATGAAATATGACTGTTGGGCAGTTGTCTAATTAGGTAAATTGGTTGTTTCCAAATAGTAATGTTACAAAGAGGTTCAATTATGCTTTATCCCTCAACCTATAATACTACCAAGATTGAATAAAGAAGATAAAGGACCTTCATTTCTGCCAGAAGCTTGAGAAAATCACTAGTACTTTTGGTTCTTGAAAATCCTCTCACTTGATAATTATTTATTGTTTGCACTTATACAGGAGTCTGTCGGTTTGCCATCGATGTTCCGTGGGCTGGGGTTTGAGACAGCAGCCCGCCCTGCTCTGAGAAGAGACATGACCCCCTTTGGTAAGTGGCAGGCTGATCAAAGACTTTAGAGTGGTTTGTTTCCTCTTTTCTCATCCTTGTGCTTTCTGTCTCCAAAGAAATTGATCATTTAGAAAATTCTTTTCATCCTATAACTCTAGCCAATATCTGACCTTTTTTTTATTAAGGTAGAGGCATTTTAGGCCGAGGCTTGAGTTTTGATATGGCATCTAAAAGCCAAGAAGAGCTTCTGAATCAACCAACTCTCCCAGGCCCTTTGGTATTGGCAGCTGGGGACAGCAAGATGTCATCAGTCTCCCTTGGTTGGAATAGGTGAGTGTTGTTGAGTTCTCAGACAAACTTACAATTCAAAAAACTAATTTAACTGACCTTGAGAACAAAAGAAAAATTTTTAAGAAGGCTTGGTCTGCCTGTCTTCATGACATTGTTTTAGTGATAACAGACCTTAGGCATTTTCTAGGAATAGCAGGCAATTGCATTCCCTTTTTCTCACTAAAAAGAGGGGAAACATACGATTTCCTGATAAGACAATGAATCTATTACCCCATCTCCCTCTTAGGAATTCTAATTCTGGTTTTAAAATAATTGTTAAACTAAGTGAGGTACACTGGTGTTCCAATTCTGATGTAGGAAGTAATCTAGAAGGTCAGCACCAAAAGTAGTTGGTGGATGTGACCATTTTACTCTCTTTTCATAGCATGTTCTATTCTATATCATTGTTTTCTGAGATTTATTTTCACAAAACTGCACTCAGTCCACTTTGTAGACTATTCTAGGAATAAAGTAGATTTAGAGATGATAAAAATGGAACATAGATAAAAGTACTGAATTTTTAAAAAATCTGTAATGTTTATGAATTCAGGACACTTGGAAGAGGGAACTTGGAGGCTCCTTTGGGAAGACCAACTGTTGGCCTAGGCAGAGCGATATGTAAAGCACCAAGTGAGTTATCATCTCCAGATACTCCATTGTTATCATCATCATCACTGCCATCACCCAAATCCTCATTCCCCCTCTATCAAGATCACCCTTCAGATAGTCCTGTTGAACAGATGGAGAAAAAGTAAGTGAGGAGCAATGTCTTTGTGGTCTATCATGACTTTGGAGGCTTTCTAGTTAATTTGTTTAGGCCTGGGGAACTGATATAGTACTTTTCATGAGACCAGAATCCCAGTAGGATGGGTAATAACATTTTTTGGTCATTGGAGAGGTTATGTAATTTGTAAAGAAGAGTCAAGGAATGATGTAACATTCCTTGGGTAACAATGCTAGGGAGTAGAGTTATGATTCACTGTTTCCCTTCCAGCTCAGATTTAACAAGACAGTTTCTTTTGTTAAATATTTACAGAGCTTTGTATTTTAATTAGCTTAGGTATTCTCTCCACTGATGAATATTTCAACATATCTACCTTTTTAGTAGGTAGCTTCATGAATTTTTGTGGCCTAAGAAATCATCACCTTCTGTTGATAATCCTCTCCAAACTTAACTAGTCTGGTTTTAGGATGACATATACATAGTCTCCAGGCCTGTTTTTGAAGTCTTTCTGGGATTTTAACCTAGGGTTACCACTACACCAAAAGAAGCCATATAGTAGGACTTGTAGAAGAGGAATTCCTTATCATAATACCAAATTGGAGAAGATAACTGGGAGAGGGAGGAGAACGTTATTGAAATCCTTTGTGAGTTTATGCTTAAACCCAACTAAACCCAACCGTAGTCCTCATAGGGTTAGGGATTGAGACTGGACCTGTTACTTCATTGATAATATGGAACTCTTAGATGAAGAAACTCCCTTAGTCAGTGCAGATTTGTACCATCTCCACACTTTATAGTCTTATTTGCCTGGAGCTTTGACAGATTATGTGCCAGGGTCATACGGCCAGTTTGTGTCAGAGATTAGACTTGATTCCAGGTCTTCCTGACTTTCTGACTCTGAGGTCAAGTGTCTATTCATTATGCCATGCTGCCTCCCTCTCAGACTTTGTTTTCCATTCTCTAATGTACTTATTAGATAACATTGTATATTATAGCTATTTGTATATGTATTATCCCTTTGCTAGACTGTAAGCTCCATGAGGGCAGGGGTGTTTCTTTTTTTAACTTTGTATCCTCTAGAGCCTAGCGTGGTGGTCCACTCATAGTAAGCACTTAATAAATGCTTGTTGAATTGAATTTTCAAAACAGATTTTGCTAAAACTATATCTTCTGATATTATGCTTCAAAACTTGCATCTAAATGCTATGATTTCTTAGATATCTGGGCAGAATCATGACATATTCATACTTCCTCCAGCTTGTCTATTGTGTTGTTCTTTTCATGTGTGTATTTTTTCCCAGAGAGCCCCTTGTGAAACAAGGATCAAAAGGGATCCCCCAACCTTTGGGATTGAACCTCGTCAAAATACACTGTCAGAATGAAGCTGTGTATCAGTATCATGTGACTTTCAGGTAATAGCAAATTTTTTCTCTTTTGCTCCTTTTTTTTTTTCCCTTTTGCTCCTTCTAAAACTGAGAATGATGTGTGCAATTCCTCTAATCTTTCTCACTCTTTGAAGTGATATGGGGCAGTCAAATAGTAGGCAATCAGAGATTGTAGATTTTACTTTATATCAACAGTCTTTATTGTGTTCCCTCTTTTAGGAGCTCAGACTATTTTCCCATTCTTACATCTTAATAATTAATTAAATTGTTATTAGTTCTCTCAATATGTCTGGCAGTAAGGTGATTTTTTTGACTTCCAGTTTCATGTGTGAAATAGTATAAGAAAATTAACTGATGCCTGGATGTGATGTTTTTTATTTATATTACTCCCTTGCCCTGGATAGATAGGAGACCAGCTCCAAAGTTATGGAGAAATAGGGTAACAAAAATGTGACCTGTCATATGGCACAGAGAGAAATTAAAGGGAGAGGACCTGTTAGTCTCCTGAGTTATCCCTCTGGGACAAGTATGGGTAACTTTGGGGACCTGCTTTTGGAAAAGAGGGGAAGAATGAAAAATTAAGAGACAAGTAGAAGAAATGGAAAGAATCCTGAGATAATTGCTAATGTTGTCAACCTTGTTCTCAAACTCTGAACATCTTGCTTTATTGTGTGCATTTGTGTGTATGTGTGTGCCTGATGTCATAGTAGTACAGTCGTTTCTTTTAGTCTCTCAGAGCTGAAATGATTGATCTCAGGTCAGCAGACTGAGGTGCTGCTTCTATGTATCACAGAAGATCAATCAAAGCTGGGCACAGCCTGTGTTTTGGGGGAACTCTGACTATACCATACCTGGACTTTGGTCAAAACTGCAAAAGATTACTCACTAAATGGGACAGGTACAAGAACCTGAAGCTGGACATGGGTTCCTTTCTGTGGTCTGGTGTATTATCTATTGCAAATACATTGGCATAGTATAAGCACCTTTCCCTGTTTGGCTTAATTGAGCTAGTATTTGTTACTAACCTAACAGTGTAGGTTAATAACTTGGGTGGGATGCAAAGGCAGCCTCTTCCTTTAAATATCTTCCAGTCTTATTGGGAGAAATAAGACATGTACACATGTGTTCAGTTGAAGAATAGCTCATTTATAATTCTCATTACTTGATGCAACACAAGCACAAATCCGCCATCCACTAGAACTAACAATCCTGGGCCATTTTCATCTCCGTCCAACCTCTCAGTCAGATGATTCATACTATCCAGTGTCTAATTTGGAGCATTCCAACTATTACAAGTAATAAAGTGCTTCCAATATATCTGCTATGTACCACCTTCTGCAGAGCTCTTCATTTGTCACATAATCATTTGTGATTAAATGCTCAAAAAGTGTGGTAGAGACAGAAAGTGTGATGAGAGGTCAAGGAGAAGGGAGACATCAGTGTGCAGTTGTGAGGAAAAGCTTTGTTTAAAAGGGAAGGCTTGATGTGAAAGATACGTAAGATGTGAGTAGGCAGAGAGTATATAGGGGAAGGCACACCGAGCCCTTGAATACTAAACAACAAGTAAAGATTCAGAAATAGGGTTAGACAGGTTTAGGGGACAGTGAAAAGGCCAACTGGGTCTGGAACAAAAGATTTCTGTTGAGGGGTGGGGTTGGGGGGAATAAGAGGTAATCTCACCTCACTCATTGAAAACATAAATATCCACCCTCCTTTACCTGACAACAAGAAAACAGTTGGACCAGCTTGAATTCCAGGTCTGCCCAGCAAGAGGCAGTTTTTGATGCATTCTAGTCATGATGATGGAATGAGGTTTTTGAAGAAAATCAGGTTATCTTCATCATACATTCCCCCAACTCCTCAAAAAACCCTACAAATAAAAGCACCAAAGAAAAGAAACATGACTTAAAGACTGTAAGTAAATAAAAGTCACCCAAAACGAATGAGCTGAGCAAAATCTTGATAGTTTAAAAAAAATACCATAGACCTACTAAATCAGCTTAAGGTACCAGAAACAATTTTGATGGCAAAAGACCCAATATAAGATATTCTTAAATGTCCTCAGATGGCTATAGGTCATGGAGAAAATTTAAGCAACAATTAACATGAGTAAGCAAACAACGATGCCAAAAGAATAAAGATTGTAAAAATCTTGGGAGGAAACAGAGCTAGGATTAATTTTTTTTTTAAATGAAAAGACATAATGAAGAAAATTACCAAAATGAAGAATACAATAGGAAACTTGAATCAGCAGCCCCAGCCAACACACTTACTACAGCGAAACACACTGAAGACCAACTGGGATATCCAAAGAGTCTATAGGATTCAAGCAAGGAGGTACCCATCTAAGATGAAAAATTTTTTACTTTAGTATAAACTCTAACATTGTAACAGTAGGGGGAAAAAAACTACTTCAAGCTACCAGAAGACCCACAGAAATTATCTGTCATAGAAATTTAATCAGTTTTTCCCCAATTTTTTTGAGGTGTAGAGAAAGACCTTTCCATGTCCACTTGTTGATTGAATAGTAGATAGTAAGCTTTAACTAAACTCAAGGTTTGGCAAAAGTAATAGAAGATGTTGTAAGCCTTAATAAAACATTTTTAAGAGGAAAACTAAAGTAGCAGTAAAATATTCGGAGCTTAGGTTCCAAGTAAAGACTGGATATTTCTATCTTCCAGACCAAATTTTAAAAAATGACTCATCTGATTTTTATTAAAACATTTAAGCCATGTAATCACAACTTTTTACATAAAAAGGTATTTTAGTCACCTTTTTACTCACAGAACCACTCCCTTCTCCATTCCATCTTACGCACAACTGCTGAAATAATCTTCCTAAGACATAGGTTGGTCCACGTCATTACCCTGTCCGAAAACTTTGCCTCTGGGATAAAAGACAAACTCCTTAGTCTGACGTTTAAGACCATTCCCAATCTTTCCTTCCACTCCTCTTGCTGGGCTTACTCTAGGCAGAACGGACTCCCTGAACTCAGCCCTCTCACTCTTTGTGCTTAATCCATTCCCTGTGACTTGGATGCACTCCCTTCTCACCTCCTTATCTGACTCCCCAGGCGTCAGTGCTTTCTTCTCTGTCACTTTTCTTGATGTTATGCTTATTTACATACATGTTGTATCCCTCTGGTATGATTTCATCACTTTTGTGTTGACTCTGTATGCCCAGTAGCTGGCTTGTTGTTTCCTTGCACATAAAGAGGAGCTTAATAAATGTTGGTTGGTCGTGTTGATCCAGATGGCTTGGGGATTTCCTCGGTGTGGGTGGCACCTCGACCCCCTTTGGCCTTCTTGCCCTGCTTCCTGGACGCTGCTGGAGATGCTGCCAAGCCTCCTGGCTCAGGCCTGGGCCGCCTCCCCCCGCTGGCGGGGCATCCCATCCCCCACTGCACCATGCTCTGGCCTGGGCTCCCCCTGAGCTCCTGCCCTACCCCACAAGGGACCTCTGGCTCCCCTGCTCCCCCTCCCCCATCTGGGCCTCCTTCCCCCTCAGACCCAGCTGTGCACTCCTGGGGCCTCCGCCTGCTGCCTCGCTTGGCCCCCAGACTCTGGGAGCAGGTGCCCAGGGCTTCCTAGCCTGGGCCTCCTACCTTTGCAGGCCTTGTGCTCTGAGCCTGGCTGGTGGCCTCCTGCTGCTCCTGCTCCTGCAAGGTCAGCCTCGCCTGTCACTGGTGCCTAGAGGGCTCTGCTTCTGCCCCACTTCATGATCAGCTCGGGCGCCACCTACTGTGGGACGACATCTCACAGTCCTCCGGCTAGGCTTCCCTGCCAATGCAGCCTGGGATGCGAAGCCTGGGTGTAGTGCTGGGCAAATTGACTGGGACGAAGTTAAATTATTAAAGTTGTTGACTTCTGTCAAAAACCTCATAATGCCTTACATCTTTAAAACGTTTTGAGTAGTAATATCCTTTTGTTGCAGTCATCTTATTTACACGATTTCACATTGAAGCCACATTGAAGTTTTATCACATTGGGTATTAAATATACCTTTGAAAAAGAGTCCTTTTTTTTCCCCCATGTCTAGGTTTTTTTATGGCCAGTAGGTTTTCAGTGGAGTTTAAATCAGACAAATTCCTAGGCTATTGAATTATGTTTAGCCCCATTTCTTGGATACATTTCTTAGCTTTTGGGATGTGTGGTATGTTATAAGGTTAAGTTGTGATATTTCATCTACTTTTGTAAATTTCTGTAAGTCTGGAATAATTATGCTTCTCATTATATCAATATTTATCCACATTCATTCCCTCAATGAAGATAAGCTTTCTAGATCCATAGGAAATAAATATAATGGAGGAGAAATCTCTAAAACATTTTTTTTGGGTAGGCACTTTATAATCCAGTAACGATGCCTTAGGTCTTACCAGATCACCTGGACTTCCCACAACGGTAAGAGTGATTTTCACTGTGTAAAAGTGATTTTCATTAGTAGATCTTTTCTCAGTCTTCAGTACTCAGTTCTGTCTTGCCCATAACAAACATTTTTTCTATATGGCAACTTTTAAAATTGGTGTCCTTGATGTTCTAATATCAAGAAGCCTGTGCCTGGAAGGTTCTTAACTTGGGGTTAGATAAACAAAATCTATTTTCTTTTCCTGTCACAACCTCTCCCCCCTCCCCCTTTTTGGAGAAAAAAAAGACCTTTGTATAAATACAATAAATATACAAGCAAAACAGATTCCCACATTGGCCGTGTCCCAAACAATGTCTCATTTTACACCTCAGCTCTTCTGCTTCATCATGAGTCCTCTGGCATTGTGGATGGTCATTGCGTTGATCAGAGCCTTTCAGAGTGGTTTGTCTTTACGGTGTTGTTTTTGTTGCATAAATTGTTCTCTTGTTTCTGCTCATTGCAATCTGTAGCAATTCATACAAGTTTCTCTGAAACCATCCCTTTTGTCATTTCTAATGGCACAAGAATATTCCATTACATTCATGAATCGTGATTTGTTAAACCATTCCAGTAATAGCCATTTTTAAAAACCAGCAAAAGAAAGAAATGAAACATATGTGTAT